GGTTAAACCAGCACCACCAGTCTTGCGGGCTCCCCTGGGCACGGGTGGGTCTGGGAGGCCCCGGCAGTGCCGCTCGATTAAGATGGGGGTCAGCTGTGCGGCCAGCTGTGCGCTTGTGGGGGCCCCCCCGACTTTGGTGTGCGAGGAACGGGGCGTTCGTGAGCTGTGGGGTGAACTTCCCAGCCTGCTCGCCATCCCGGGATCGCACCCGGGCAGGGTCCGGCTCTCCGCGCAGCGGCGGGCGCCAGGGGCTGCGTTTATGCCTGGTATAAATCTGAACTCTAATTGACTTCACCTCCTTGGATCTTAACCCGAGGAGAAAAACATCTGGGCCTGATGTGATTTTATTAAGTGCTGATTTCATCAGCGAAGGGGAAAAAAAAAGAAGAAAACCTGCTGGCCAGTTGGATCAGCTCCTTGTAAACCCCTGCACGGCAACGGAGCAGCACGGGGAGGGACAGGCACATTCGAGGTGGTGATGGCCCCGGGAGCCAGCAGAGATGCTCGCTGGGGCTTTGAAAACGTGCCGGGTGCCTGCGGATCCCTGGGGGAGAAAGTAGGAGAAACAATGGGGCAGGCAGAGGAAAGCAAAATCCCCAACTGCCCTTTTTTCCCCAGGGAAATAACTGCGCCCTGAGGGAGCCACAGGGAGGTGTCACGACAGGGTCTGTCCTCAGCAGAGACGAAAGGCTGGCACCACGGCACACCCAGACTGCATGGCTCCTGGCAAATGTGGCCTCTGATGGCACAGGGGTCAATGATGCCAGGAAAGATGCCAGGCACCGGGCTGAGAATGGTTATTTCGGTGCACCTGTGACGGAGCTTTCGCTTTCCTTAATCGCCGTCCGCGTTGCGGAGGAGGACGGTGCCTTGAAATACATTTTTGAGCAAAAAAAACCCCACAAACCCGGACACAGAGGGGCTTATTGCAAAAGCAAGTTGTGGGGTTTTTTTTTTTCCCTCTTTCTTCCTTTTTCCCCCCACCTCCTGCCTGCTCTTTCAGCTACTCATAGTTTTTCCAAGACAAATTTAGGCCTGGGCCACATCCCACTCGTGTTTGGAAAGTCTGAGCAGCTTTGGCTGCGCTGCCGGGAGCGAGGAGAAAGGGCAGACGGCCCATGGCAATTTTAAACCTAAAAAAAAAAATAAATTAGGAGCCAAATGCCAAAGAAAGCCCCAGATCTCACTGAGACTTTAGAGAAGGAGGGGTGGGCAGGAAGGCAGGGGGATCCCCTGGGTTTGCCCCAAGCAAAGGACTTTAAATTGGGCCGAGCTCCTCTGGGAGAAATCTGCAAGATTCACCTCGTCTTGAGGTGAATCCGGGATGGATTCTGGAGAAGGGGCCACTGCTTTCCGCCCGCCACAAGCCCCTTCGGCGCAGCGAGGGGGCTGCGAGAGCCAGGAGAGCACAAACACACCTCTGCTGCTGTCCTGTGGACCAGGAAAAACCCATCACTCCCAAAAGGAGCTCCTTAGGAGCCCCTTTGGTAAACGTGGAGCCTGCTTTCCTAGCACGCTGCCCGGAAAAACCTGGATTTTATAGTTCAAGGGCTCCCCTCCACAGGTGATGTGGTCGGGGCAAGCGTGGCACGTGCAGGGAGCACCCATATTCCCCGACGCCGGCGCTCAACCCTCCCACGGGCATTCCCCATCTCCGACATACGCAGCACATGTCCCTGGGTGGTTTTCCATAGGCGACACCGTTTCAGCTGAGCTTTGCCGGGAAGCGGCCTGGGAATGGGGTTGCACGGATTTTGGATGAACGCCGGGCTGCTGCGGAGGTGGCTGGGGCATGGTCCGTAATTCCCTACGCAAGGAGCAGCCAGCGAACGCTGAAGGGCTTTTTAATTAGCAGCCAAAGGCAAAGCGGGATACAGCGGCAGGGAAGCTGAAGTCAGCAAAGCCAAGGTGGAAAGACGAGGCCAGCTTTTTCCAGGGAGGGTAATTAAGTGCCGGCAGAGCGCAGCGCGAGGCGTGAGGAATTGCCGTCATTCAAGGATCTTAAATCAAGGAGAGGAGTTCCTCCTGCAGACAATTCCTCTCCCTCCATCCCCACTCCGGCACCACTCACCGCCCAGCATCAAGGAGGGAGCAGCTGCCCTCGGGACCCGTGAACGAGCTGGGTACTGGCACCCCAGTGTTTTTCGTTTCTAACAAGCCAGGCAGGGAATGCAGGGCAGGAAAAGGGAAAAGGGCTGTTTTCCCACCTGACCTGAAAGCAGCTTGGCCGCCCTCCTCCCCGGCGCGTGCGATATCTTGTGCAAACATCCCTTTTGGCACGACAGATTTCTCCCGCTGGGATTTAGGGCCATTTTTCGCCTGCACAGGGCTGGCTCCTCGGGACATGGAGCACCCGGCGCTCCCACCCTGCAAGGGGAAAGCTGGGATTATTTGCTCACAGTTTCGGGAGAAAGCTGGGCCGGAGCAGGGCTCCTTGGCTGTCGTATCTCCTGAGCTCCCGACACCTTCGCCAGCGACGGAGAAGTTGGGATTTAAGCCAAACCCGCCCTCCTGCTACACATTAATTGCAAAAAATAAAAATCAGGGCGCTAGACAGAGGTGGCTGTGCCAGTGAGAGGTTATCTGCCAGGATCTGAAGGATTGGGTGGGGGATGGCAGCAAAAAAAAAAAAAAAATCACCATTTGGGGCTGGTTGGAAAGCAGCTCCGGCTCATACCAAGTCCTTGACGCGGTCTTTCCTTTCCGAAAAATAAACAGGAACCGTCTGGAAAGCCCCTGAGTGGGGAGGAGCAGAATTGCCCAGAATAAATAAATACACGGAGAGAGCAGGGGCTGAGTTCATCCAGCCGGTCGTTCCCTGCTGCCGAGGCTGGCCAAGGATGAGGATGGAGTTTGGGGAGGGGGCTGGGGGTGGCAAAAGCCCATGGGGCTCTTTCCCCAATTCATGGGATTTTTGGGAAAGTGCTGAAATGGCCTCCTCATGCAAGAGCCCTCCTGCAGCAGGGCTTTCCGTTCTCCCCAAAATTCCCTTTTGCACCATGAGCCTTTTGACTGATTTTAGTTACAAAGGGATTAAGGGGACGGAAAAGCACAAGCCCGGGGAATAAGGACACGGCAGGCGCGGAGCCGGAGCGAGCTGCAGGAGTAGCTTCGTGTTCATAAACGTGATGAAGATGATGAATTAAATATGAATTTTGTTCCAGGCGTAACTCCGACATCACCAAGAGACCCGACGCGCTTGTGTTGCATAAATGCTCGGCGTGTTCCTCGACACGATAGTTCGGCTCCCTTGGGCAGAGACGACGGGATAGGACGGGGATTGAGCAGGAAAACACGGCAGGAAAAGTACAGACCCCTCTCCTCTGCCTTTTTTTGAAGCATACTCACGCGTTTTTAGCTGACAGAGTTAGGGCTGCGGGGGCTGGGGTGTTTTCTGCAGGGGAAGCGTTGTCTCCGAGCCCGCCAGCTCCGTTTTATTAACCTTTCACGTCCTGGTAGCAGACAAAAAAAAAGAAAGAAATGTCTAAAATGGAGAAAAAAAACCCCAAAACTGTGCAAGTGCTCTGAGTTTCTTGCCCCCCCCCCCAAGTTTTTGGCTATATTGCCCCCGGACACACTGTGCTGTCTCGCACTCGGCTTTAACCTCACAGCAATGCTCGCTGCCCTCTCAGCCGTGAAAGGCTGAGCGGCGTCATCCGTCTTTTCCGGGGCTGGAAAACACGGAGCCACGACATGACTCACCTCGCCCAGGTACCGCGGGGCACCTGAGGGAACCTCTCCCTGGCACAGCATGAATGGTAACGGCTCCTTCCCTGCTCCGGAAGAGCCACACGATGCTCCGGCCCATCAAAACGCTTTTCTCCTGGAAGCAATTTAAAAGCCTTGTGAGATTTCATGGAAGAAAATCCGTTGCTATCGGGGGATGGCTAAGACAGGGCAAAGCAGTAATAATTGCCAGTTAAGTACAGACATCCAGCCGGTGCCAGCTGCTGCCATCAACAGACTGATTTGTGGCATGGGCAGGAGGCCCAGTCCCCAGTCCGCTTCAGCGGGGCAGTTCCCCCCAGCTTCTATGGAAAAAAACAGGGAGAGAAATGGGGTTGGTATTGGAGTCAACTACTGGCTTCAGCCAGTGATCTGCACGAGGGCGAGCAACGTTTTTGTGTTTTAGGGAAGCAGGAACAACTTGGGGTCCCGGCCCACCTGGGAGACATTTGGGTATCAGCAGTCCTGGAAAAGCAAGAGGGTTTTGCGGATTGTTTAGCGCAGGGAGACGAGACCTGGCTTTCCTCCGCATCCTTGTGGAGGGGAGATTTTAGGGATTACTCCCCCCATTTCAAATCCCCCACCGAATGAAGCCAGATCATTCAGCTCACTCCTGGGAATGCTGCAGGAAAGTTGAACAGTGCCAGCTACAGAGACAACAGAGGAGTAAACGGCCAAATGGTCCACAACTATGGGATGAATTCCTCCCCAAAAAAACATGTCTGCCACAGGAAAAGGTTTTCAGAAACACTGTCACCTAAAGGTGGCATTGCTGGAGAATAAATAAAGACCAAGCCAGAGGTTTCTCAGAGAGTTTTATTAAACCAAAGTGAAAAAGGAATGATAACAAACCATCTCTTGCGGATAAGGATAACAAACCATCTCTTGCAGATAAGGATAACAAACCATCTCTCGCAGATAAGGATAACAAACCATCTCAGCTCAGTTCAAGTCACTGAATCAAGTGTAGGACAAAGTGCCCGGATTTCAACTCTCCTGTGAAAGAGAAAAAAAAAGGAGAGGTTAAAACACCTCTGCAATCCATGGAGGCTTGAACTCCTTCCCTAGAGAAGAAGGTGCTTGTGCTCAGTCCGAAAAGATGGAAGGACGCAGTGCTGGGGGCAAGAGACACACTTCGCTTGCTTCGCCGGCTCTTTCTGAGCTTGGAAAAATCGACACGTTCACCTCCACACCAGTCTCCTGGTGTCCCTTCCTGGCTTATTGCCATGAGAACGGGATTTCCTTTTCGCTGGGATCGCTGCCTCCGGCTGCCGCTAGCTGCTGTGGAGCGGTTTGGCATAGACTGGCTCCATGAGGTGGTAAACCAGGAGCAGGAACAGGCACCCAAGTAAGACCAGGCTCATCACAGCCAGGAGGACGAAGCGGCCGATGAAGAAGGTGTCCACGATCTGCAGAGCGGGAAAAAAACAGACCACAACACATGTTACAGGCGCAGTCCGCTCCAGGAGCCTGGAGGGAGCATGCCACGTCCTGGAAAAGAGGACTGTCCAAGAAGATCAGCCCAGGAGGAAAACTTTTGGGATTCCCCCAGATTCCTCCCCTCGCTTTTCATTCCTGACATAGGTGCTCTCTGTGGGAAGTGGGGTGCACCACAAAAGATGGAAAGAAGAATCCCTTTCCTCTGGAAAAAGCCACTTGTGGGAAAGCCAACACGGAGAAAAGGAGCAGTGCAGCACCGAGCGCAGGGAAGAAACACGAGTCAAAACCTGCGGCAGCTCTCCCAGGCCACAGACATCCCAGCGCTGCAAGAACCTGCACACGATTCTTCCATTTTAGAAGGGAAACAGGGGGAAAAAGTAAAAAACAAGATTAAAAAATGATACAGCAGATACAATGGGAAGCCAACCGCAAGAAGGTTGGCTACGGAATCATCCTCTTGGCTCCTGAGACTACCCCAGAGCTTCGCTCAGCCCCGGCTCGGTTTTACAAAAGGCATTAGCACACGCTCAGCCGTGGCGCTGCTGCAGAAAGAGTCTCTTGTGCCTTGGCTCCTTCCGCACGTTCCTCTTTCTAATTAGCCAATTAGCTGAGTTTCAGCACAGAAAGCCCCGGTCATGTATTATTGATCGTCAGGGCAGGTCCAGTCCAATTGAAGATCCCAAAAACATGAGCTTTCTGATTCTGTTAGCCTCCCGGGCACGAACACGCGCTCGGCTGCCCTTCATCTCGCTTCCAACCTTTACACCAGCAGGTCCCACGCAAGGCAGAGAAAAGAAAAAAACTTAAAAAGATCTTTAGTAGGGATTTACACAGATCAAGATTGAGAAGAGCAATAATTAATGGGCATTAATAATAGAATGGAGGAAACGGCACCTAAAACGCCGCAAAAACTTTGTGTATTCAAAGAGCTCTGGGAAAACCCAAGATCACAGCTCAGGCAGCCTGATCTGACCCGAAATCGGGGGAGATCCCCGTGCCTGACAACACAGACAAAAGGCTGCCCAAAACCACAGATGGCTCCATGCTTGAGCATGGTAAGAGAGCCAAAGTGCAGCTACCGGGCTTTGAAATGGAAAACAGAGCTAGGGGACAGCAAAAGGCTGCAGAATTAGAGGGATAACTATCCAAACTACCTGCCACGTGGCTACCGGCACGCTCCGGGGTGTGTTGGGAGATGGAGGGCTGTGGATCAAGCTGTGAAAGGGGATGGCAGAGGAGGAGCAGAAGCTGCTCAAGCTCAGAGCTGAGCCAGGAAGGATAACACAAGTGTGATGCCCGCACAGAGCCCCATGGGTCAGGGGATAAACCCCACAGGTCACCTACACCGGTGTGTAAAGAAGAAATTTTGTTAAAGAAACAAAGAGATCCCTGCTCCGTGAGCAACACAGCCTGCTTCGACAGGAACGTCCGTCAGAGCAGGAGCTCCAGGAGACAGAAAGGCAGCACAAGGCCATCCCCGGGGCCTTAGGCCTGCTGCTGGGGCCTTCCCTGAGGTAAAGTCCCAACCCCGGGGCCATTCCTGAGGTAAACAGCCATCCCCAGGGCCTCGGGGCACCCATGGGGGCCACCCTGGGGTAAGACACATCCTCAGAGCCTCAAGATAGCCCTTGGGCACCATCCCTGAGGTAAAGGGCCGTCCCCAGAGCTTCAGGGCACCCATGGGGGCCAGCCCTGGGGTAAAGGCCCATCCTTAGGGTACCAGGGCAGCCCTTGGGCAGCATCCCTGAGGTGAAGACCCATCCCTGAGGCC